ACACATGAGACCTACCTCTGTAAAAAGTACATCCATGATGAATTTGATCTGGTCACTGTGGGTGTGCTGTCCAGAATTGAAGTCAGGTGAGAGTGGATTGCATCAATCTGCTCCTGATCTTCAATGTATACCGGCACAGGTGCTGACTGAGCAGAATGCTTGGGAAAAAGTGTAAAGCCACTTTGAATTCTTTTGGCCACTGCCTTGCCTTTCAAAAGAAAGAAAACATTTTAATTTGCTGACCCCCCAATACGACAACTCTAGTTAGTGACAATAAACAGGCAGATTCATAATTAAAATGTTTTAATTTCATTTAAATTGTTCAAATGTAGGTTATCAAGAATAGACATGTGAATATTGCCATGTGGGTATTTTACTGAGGTGATTATGAAAACAATGACAAGGCATGATTGATTGATGCCTTCTGTCTATGCTGATGATTTATTGCATTTTTCATCTGTGCTGTGTTGCCTCAGTTTGGTCAGTTATTTCCACTGGCAAGGAAGGGACTTCAAAAATGAAACAAACTAAGATGTTCAGAACTTGACTAGTACTACTACCTCTCTGTCTCAAACTGCTCACCAATCTGATCGCAGGAATGTCAAGCTAACAGAAATGTTACAGGATTAGTATTCAGATCTTATTGGTAGAACTCAATGACCAGCAATAAATTACAACAACTTTATAGCAACCTTTTAATGAAGAAAATAGAAAAGCTCATCTGAGGGAAATTAAATGCAGTGTTCAGCACAGTGTAGAGGGCATACTCTCAACGTTATATGCCATAGGAACATGGCAATCGTTTCTTAGCTGTGGACCTAAAGATGTCTCTGTGCTGGTCATCTCCAAAACCAGGCTCTGATTACTATACAGGGAGACTAGAAGGAGGATCTCTCTTGCAACGTTGCACGATTGCTGAACAATAATAACTTTAGCAATTATTTAACATACCTCTTATTCGTGTCGTTTCTGTTCTGATGGCTCATACTGTACAGCCTCCCCCTACTGGACGCATCAGGAACAACAGGGGCGTAAAACTGCCTGGGCCGTGAAACTGTCTGGGCCGTAGATCTGCCTTGCTCCAGGTCTGCAGCCTGCCCGTATAGAGTTTTTTGGCGGAATGGCAAACCAACTTTGTTTCAGTCTACTCATCAGTCCTGTTTCCTTAATAAAATCAAAGAAAGCTCTTTTGTTGGGCCATGAAACTGTCTGGGCCGTAGATCTGCCTGCTCCAGGTCTGCAGCCTCTCCGTATAGTTCAATTGAAAGCAGCTAAAACTGGTAGCTTAATGTCACTAGATGACATCACAATGGCAAATTCACTGATCTATATAAAGATGAACGTAGATCAGTGAAAGCATTATCCTAAAAAACACAAATAACACCAGTAAAGAATACCTATTATTTTCAATCATTGATTTATGCATTCAATACTCACTGGAGAGTAGGCTAGAGGATTGTGGCAATAACATGCGAAGGGGTGGGGAAGTCACTAAATCTAGCCACAAAATAGCTAAATTGGCAACACTGCGGACAACAACCGTCTCGTCTCGTGTGTCTCACTTCGAAAGCTGCGTAGAAGAGGACAGTCAATAATATACAGTATACAAGCATGACATTCTCTAGATAGGATATGTGATAGTTGATGTGATAGTTGAAACCTAAAAAAAATGGAATGGAATTATGGAATTAAATAACTACTTTTGATGTCTTTGTTCATTTTTTTTTTCATATAAAGGCAAGAGAACATCAATTATGTCCAGTTTATTAGTAACATCGCATGAGCGTGAATCATGCGATCATGCAATTCATATCTATGGCCGTCAGAGGAGGCAGTAGGATTGAATGAGGTTCTGCAAGCTCAGGGAAATAGTGGTAAAAGTCCATTCAAAGCAGATGATCGTAAAAGAGAGCACACGGACAGCCCCGAAGTGCTCTTGAACAGTCAGTACAGATGTGATGATGGATGCAGTAGAGCCAGACAGAAGGGTTTCTCCTCTGAAGAACTTTGTGGCTGGAGGGGGCGGTGGGGTCTGTCTCTTATTCACTGGACACCCGCTGGACACTATCAAGGTGAACTTTGTGGCTGGAGGGGTCGGTGGGGTCTGTCTCTTATTCACTGGACACCCGCTGGACACTATCAAGGTAAAGCTTCACCCAAGAGGAGAAAGCTGCATGATAAGAGTCATGAAAATAAGGATGCATTGACAAGGGTGTAATTTACATCATTTAATGATTTTTCATCAGCTTTAGCATGATTAAATAGGAGTGTATCGGGGTGATACTTTCAATGTTTTACATTCATCTAGACAAATGGCTATTTTTGTTACTATAATATATAAATAGAAGACATACAAGACCAGAATACATCACGATTATTGTGTGACATTAATTCTGTTCTGGTGTATGTGACAGAATTCGCTGTCAAATATTTACACCTGCATACTAAAGAATGTGTGTCGTTTAACAATTCCTTCAATAATTGACGGCTTAGCATTTTTGGGATGGTTAATGTTTTAAGGACAAATTAAGTCATATGTTCCCACTGAAGTTTGAGCAATAAAACCTTTCGAGACTCTAGTGATACTGATATGTTATCTAAAGACACAGAGGGAGCAAATGGCACAGATAACAGCTGCTTCTTCTGACATAGTGCTTTATCAGTATTTGTTAGACCATGCTTTATCTCATTGTTGTTAAGACACCGCCAAGATCGATGTGTCATACTTCACATTGCTGTGAGTTATACCATGTGAATCTTCATGTTTCCACAGGTCCGTCTGCAAACACAGGAATGTGTTGTCTACAGAGGAACGTATGACTGCTTACGAAAGACTGTGTCCAAAGAGGTAATAGCTTTCTGTAAGTAAACGTTTTTTTTTATAGCATACATAAAGTGTCTGCACTACATGACAGATACTGTTTATTACTGAAATAGGTGTCATGGAAAATCACTCCTGTTACTGTGACACACCTAGACTCTGTAAATAGTAACTTAAACGTGTTAGGGGTGCAGCACATGCATTTTACCCCAAAAAAGCAATGCTCTTCTGCCTGGCAGACATCGGGCATCTTCTGGTTTACTGACATTAGGTTGGTGGACTGGTCTTTAGAGGGCAGTGTTGTAAAGAGAGGGCATGTGGTTGCAGTGATGGGATGGTCTGTTTCAGTAGATAAACTTCTTAAAAAAAGAAGAAGCACTTTTTAGACCTTTTCTTGACATTTGATAGCAAGTTTGTGCAGTTTTGGTTATTTTGTTAAGTGGCTCTCAGCTGGTTTTGCTACAGGATTTTGTTCAGGTTTCAAATTTCACATTGGACATCAGCTGGGGACCAGACACAGAACCAAATCTGTTCATCATACAAATTTAACAAAAAGGTCTTTAAATTAAATTATCAGTACATTTATTCCAGTCAATTTAGATATGACAAGTGACAGATGAATTTGCCCAAAAATACTTTGAATGCATGCACAACCTACAACAATAACAAAAAAATGAGAAGTCATTTTAAAAGCATATTTATTTTGCCATCTTGCGGTCCGCAAAGTTATCACAACAGACATGTGACTCAACGGTTGAGAAGCACATAGTACACTCTCTCTTTCTCTGCCCTGTTTTAATGTCTGCAGGGAATATTTGGCCTGTATAAAGGGATGGGTGTCCTGCTAGCCAGTGTTACCCCAATGATGGCTTTGAATTTCTTTGGCTTTGGGCTTGGAAAGGAACTTCTGCAACGTGACCGCACCGTACCAATCACGTTAGTACAGGAGACCTAACCTAATAAGAGAAAGGGGATGTTTGTGATGTCAACTCTGAGCTGAATATATGTAACATTTAACAGTTTCAATTTCTAAGTGTGTAGTCTTAATAAAAACTAGTGGGCATTTGTATCTTTATGTAACCAAATGCAGCAGCAGCAGCTGAATAGATTTGTTCACACTGTTTTCAGTTTTATATACTAGAATAAATGCTATATAGACAACATTGTTTGATGCTTCTCTTTTCTACTTTTCCTTTTTATGACTTTATTTGACCCTCTGTCAGGAACACACAGATCTACTTGGCGGGGATGCTGGCAGGAGTATTCACCAGTGTAATCGTGGCCCCGGGCGAGAGAATCAAGTGTTTACTTCAGGCAGGGCAAACACACTACTGTCATAAATACACCTGTGTCCATACACACCATTAGCATGGTAATAAAACACTCAAGAATTAAATACGTACTTAAATTTAAAAACAAACAAAAGAACACGTTTCGAACAGTTATCACATTACCATAGCCACATTGTGTTAGCTCACTTGATGTTCATTCACTGTAATCCTACTTTTACAGTCAGAAAGCACAAAACTATAACAGAATGCTGCGAATTTAGTTAATCTGGCACTCTAAGACAAGTCTAAAATATCAGCAAAATGTCCCTGAAAAAGCTGAGTAATGATAGAAACATCAATCATGTAAAATCCTGTAGTGTTACTTATGAGTTGTCTTTATTAACATTTGCATGCGTGTTTTAGATCCAGTCCTCGGCCAGTCAGCTGAAGTACACTGGACCAGTGGATTGTGCATTTAGACTTTATAAGGAACAAGGATTTCGCAGTGTCTACAAGGGCACTGTTCTTACTCTAATCAGAGGTGTGTGTGTGATACTGTATATTTCACTGTAAAAAATTGCTGTAAAAAAACGGCCATATTCTGACAGTAACATCCTGTTTTTTCATTACAACAGTACAATCCCATTAAAAAAACAATGTATTCTGGGTAATATTTGTTGTTTTCGTGAAAGTAGCCTTCTGCAGCACTGTGAAGTAACAGCGTTCAGAGTCGACACTCAGAGGCTGTGTTTCAAATCACACCCTACACCCTCATTCACTATTCCCTACATGAGTTTACTAATACAGTCCACCTGACAGAGAGAATGAACACTAATGAGTGAATTCAGACACTGATGAACAGCTGCTGTTAACAAGCAGAATCACTGAAGAAAAGAGAAACACAAGAACTACAACTGACTTCAGCCACAGCCTTAGATGAAATCAACTGAAATAAGACAGCAGAACATGATCAAACAACTCCACAAACAGCATTACAGTTTGACTTTATTTCTGTCATATATCTACACAAATTCTTTGAGAATTAACAGAGGTTTAGATGTTTTATTGAAAACGTTTTGTTTGACCTCACCATCGTGGCGATCAGTGTTTGCTTTAGTTGGGCTCTTGACCCTTCACTTTTTAATGCTAGCTTGTCTGGTTGTTGTAACTGTGTTTGTAAAGCACATTTGTTATAGCAAGAAAAGTGTAGAAAAATAGTGATTGAATGGTTCTGGTTATTTATTGATGCTGGTGTAATCATCATTTTGTGGCCTGATTCACTGATCTCGTTCAGTGGCTGATCTTTAAAACTATAGTGTGGGTTTTCACTTGCTTCGTGTTAGTTACAATAGCTATATGACACTGCAAGCTGAGATGATAGACAATTATGATGGAGTTTGTAAACTTTTGATGTTCAAAGCCTTTAAACCCACGGCATCTCTTAGACACACAGAGACATCAAGAATCAACACATGAATCTCAACAATGGTGACAATCAAAAGCTTCATGCTGCAATGCATGCTGGGTACCAGCACAGGAAAAAAAACTCATCCATGACTCCCAGCATGCATTGCGGCATGACTAAATTATGCAGTTGAATTGTCCACTTATTTTCTTTAATTCTTACTAGGTGCTTTTATTTTTGTGTTGAGTTTTAGTAGCGGGATGTTTTGTGATGTTCAGAGACGATCTGTTTATTAATTTTTTTGATTGTTACCGATTCATAAGCTGATTCTTCATGTGTGTGTTTCATAGCATGTTAGAGCTTTTTTTTTTGAGTGATGTGTACGATGTTTCATAATAGCCCGCTTGTTCTTTTGCTCTAATATGTTACCATAACATGGCTTTGGTACAAAAAGAGACTCTGGACAAAATCAGTAAACCTGTTTTTTTAAAGATGGTTATGTAATTTGCAAATCATAATCAACAGCATCACATACTGTGCCTAGGTCCTTTTTTACCACAACAAATATGTAGAATAGCACAATGGTTAAAGCAACTAAATAAGAATAATGTTAAAAAGTCAAGGTTCAAGATCCCAACTAAAGCAAACACTGATCTCCATCATGGTAGTGTCAGAAAACAACAACATCTAAACCTCTGTTAATTTTCAATAAGCACTTCTGTACACATCTGACAGAAATAGCACCAGTCTGGTTAGTAATGTGAAGCTGGTGATGCTGTTTTAGAAGTTGTTTAATCAGATCTTGAGAGATTTAATGTCTTTTATTTCAGTTGATTTCATCTAAGGCTGTGGCTGAAGTCAGTTGTAGTTCTTGTGTTTCTCTTTTCTTCAGTGATTCTGTTTGTTAACAGCAGCTGTTCATCACTAATGCGCAATCATCACTTAATTAATCACAGAATTATCTCATTAACTTCAGCACCGCTTCACTCTGTAGTGTGGACACATTATAAGTGTTCATTTAAAACTGAGGATTTTGTTGTGGGGTTTAAAGGGTTAAAGATGTAAGATGGAAAAAAAACAGCATGAAATGTAATTTAACAGTAATAAACTGTAATTATTTTACGGCCACAAACGGTAAAAAAACAGTTATTTACTGGCAGCACGGTTGCCAGTAAATAACTGTTTTTCTACAGTTGGTTGCCGTTAAGTCCAGGAAAAAAACAGCAATATACTGTAAAACGGAAGAGTCAGATTTACCAAATGAAAAAAGTTAATTTGACTGAAATATTTGTGAACATCCATAGAAAAAAAGTTATGCAAAGTCATGAACTGATAAGGAGAGTAAATATTGAACTGAACTGTATTAATGTGTTTTTGCACAAGAGAGATCTGTTAGTTTAATGTAGTTTTGTGTGTCACCATTGTGCTGGAGAGTAGAGCCTGTGCTTCAGTCAATGATGAGCCACCAACACGGATGCTCAGCTGCTTTATTTAAAGGTAGTAACTGTGGAGTTGCTGATACATTAATGATCTATTTGTTACTTTATCTCACACATGTGTGCTATAGCTAACAGTGAACTGCAATGATTTGAGTTATTTTGCTGCTACACATTAAGTGTTTGCAGTTTTATACTAAGAAATATTCCTTCTCAGTGGACTTAAATGAAATAAGTTCACAGTACTAATATCGTATGAACGCTAGCTTTTAAACTCAAACTGTTTGAAGCAATGGGAGCGGAGTTAATTTCCATGGTAGAATTACGGTAAAACACTGTAAAAATTAAGAGTTGTAAATTAACGGTTGAGAGCTGTAAATTAACAGTACCTTACTGGCAACCCTGCTGCCAGTAAATAACTGTTATTTAACGGCACAATTTTTTACAGTGATAGGTGATATTGTGTGTGACATGATATATTTCCTGTAAACTAAAATTAATAGGTGGCCTTTATGGATGCATCTTTTTTTTTCTTTTTCTTTCAGATGTGCCTTCAAATGGTGTGTACTTTCTAACTTATGAATACTTAAAACAGTTTCTGACCCCGGAGAGAGAGTGGTGAGAGTCACAACTTTGTCATTCTAGCTATAAATAATATCAGGATTTAAAACTAATGTTCATTTCATTTCTTCCAAATGTTCATCATCTCAGCACATCCAGAGTTCTTCTCGCAGGTGGGATTGCTGGCATGTTAAACTGGCTGATTGCTCTGCCTGCAGATGTGCTTAAGTCAAACTACCAGACAGGTACACCACAGACATTTCTGAACGTGTCATTGTGTTTTATGACTTATATGCCATAAAATGGCTCTACATTGTACCCTAGAGGCACAAATAAAACTATAAAAAGTAAGTTAGTTATGCTGGAGATTCACTAAACAGTTGCTTCTCTTTTGTGTGTGGTATTTCACTGCAAAAACCTGCATCATATTAACTAACCATCAGCAAACTAATTTACAAGGCACTATCAGTGCTACACAGTGGCAGCTGGTGTAACATTTACTAGGTCTAGGGCTGTGCCACATCCAACAATTTTAGCAAACATCCCAATATTATTTAATGCTAAACAGTTAAAGTTTAAGAACAAAAGTTGACAGAAGGAAAACGTATTACGACTTAAAATATTTTGAAAGCTTGAAACTTGAGGATGGTTCTCTAAGTTTTTTTCGAGGTAAATTAAAAATACTTTTTCGTTTTCATAATTCATAATTTATGTATACAGTGGAACAACAAAATCTCTGATGAAAAAATAAATGATACATTTGTTTAGAGCTTTTTATATAAATAACTGCAAGTAAAGCTGCAGTACCAAACAGGACCACCCGGGGATGCCAACAGACCACTATAGCAGCCGCCTTAACCACAGCATACATACAGTACACAGATCCATTCAGAATTATTAAACACAGCAAAACACACAAAAAAAAAATTTCTGAATTTGCCGAATGTGGCGATCTGAAGGTGACTCAACATCATTAGTCAAGTAAAGTCACATTTATTTGTATAGCGCTTTATACAATACTGATTGTGTCAAAGCAGCTTTACAGTGTTAAACAGGAAAATAGTTTGTCAATAATGCAAGAAGACAATGACAGTCATTTTTCCAGCTGACGTCATCAGTAAACAGTTCAACAGTGTTCATGTCCGAGGCCCATATCTACATAAACACCACTGAC